AAATTCCAAAGCACTAACTATGATCGGGCATCCAAGACCCGTGGATAATGTACGAACTGTACATGCCTCTCATGGATCAGTGCACTAGTAAATTTTCTATAACTTTTCACTTCCAATCTAACTTTTGCACTTCTGAGGTGTTACAAGAGGAGAGACCAATTATTGTAAGAAATATTGATAGAGTAATAGTGAAGAAATTCCTATCTTGTAGAGGAAGAAACCTCAAATTTTGGTCAATATAAACTTGAAATTCAAGTTTTGTTGATCAAATTATCTTGGAATGAAGATTTCCTTTATGAGTATTGTCTCTATTTCTTCTTTTATGAGTAGTTAGAACCTTAACTAGGGGTGTGTGTGCTAGATGGGGGTGTAAAATCTTGAATAGGTATTGATTAATTGATTATAATATTGATTTTATGGCATTGATCTATTGTTGTCTTGAAGTTTTAATCTAAAATTAGTGGTTGCAAATATTGATTGAGATCTCTAACACCATTTTGGCTTGGAAAAGCAAAATGGAGTTGGGTAAGACTCAATAGTGTGGACTTAATGAAATTACTCTATGGGTTTGAGCTAGGGATGGGATAATCCGAGTGAATTCACATTTAATGATATGAACCAAGGATAGTCTATCTATTGAAGCAATGTTTGGTATTTTGTTTGAAAGGGTCTTGGAGTTTGGAAGAATCCAAGGGACATACGCTTGATACTTCGGGGGAATATCAAAGTGTAGCCTAGACCAAGCACTATCCATGTATCAATCAATGTTGCATCAGTTAATCTTTGTCTATTTTAGTTAAAATCTCGATCTTTATGTGCACACCCCTAGTCGTTTCCAAACTTATTAGATATTATTTGTGTTAATTTCCCATTTTATTGATTAATATTGATGAAATTGTATTTGTTAGATAAAACCCCTAGTTAATTTTATATATATATATATGTGTGTGTGTGTGTATTTGTTGAGAAGTCAATTTGTTAATTTGTTTCATATAGTGAAATCAATAAAAGAAGAGTCTCATTTGTCAATCCTTGTGGTTCTACCCCGACCTCATAAGTTGGGTAATTATTTTGTGTATGACCGCCTATGCCCTCAAATATGGGACATCATTGAGCGCTTATCACTATCACCCTCAAGCATATGATTAAATTGAGGTTGCCAACCACTCCTTAGAGATTTATTTATGTTTCTTTTTAGGGTTACATCCAAAACAATGGCCAAGTTAGATATCTTGAAATAATTTTTTGTTCAATATCACTTATCATGATTCCACATAGAGGACCCCTTTTAGAGCTTTATAAGGAAGACATTCTCCTCCTTGTTGCGGTTCACTAATAAAAGTTCCTGAGGAGTTCAACCAACAACTTATGGCTCACAACACTATTTTAGATGAACTCAAAGCTAATATGATCCATCCTCAAGCTCAAATGAAAGTTTATGTTGATGCTGAGCATCGTGAAGTTGTGTTCCAGCATGGTCATTTGGTTTATCTTGCGATCAACCTTTCAATCTTCGCTCACTATCTAAAAATGGTCATCAAAAGTTAAGTCCTCGTTACTATAGGCCACATACTATCTTAAAAAAAACTGGTGAAGTTACTTATCGCCTTAATTTACCCCCTAATTCATGGGTACATCATGTATTTCATGTTTCTTGGATAAAGTGCACAATTAAGGATGTTACTCTAGTCGAGCAACTCCCTCATTTCTTATCCGAAGAACTTGAAATGCAAGTGCAAACTGAAGGTGTAGTATAATGTCTTATACTCTTGAATGTCCCCTAAGAGGTGTTGATTAAGTGGAAGGACTTACCAGACTTTGAGAACACTTGGGAATCCAATAAAGTCATTGATGCACAGTTTCCGCATTTTCACCTTAAGGACAAGGTGAAACTTGTTGGGGCAGGTATTGTTAGACATATTGTTACTAAGGTCTATAACCACAGGAAGAATGGTGACAATAAGACTTAAATGTAGCTGTTTTATTTATTAATTACTATGTATATGTATTTTTAGTAGTTACTAAGAAGGTAACTAGCAATTTAGGTTGCTATTTTGTGATAAATTATACTGGAAAAAAGGAAATAAAGTTGGTTTTGGGTAGGATTTTCTATGGCAAATTTGGAGGTGAAGGTTCCTCGAAATACCTTGATTGTCAGAAGTATTATGTATTTTTTATTTTATAAAACATATTTTAATTGTTGGTGGTAGTAAATAATAGTTGAATTATTGTTCCTATTTTCGTGTTGTGTTTGGAAGTTTACATATTAATTGTTAGGAGAGTTCTAGATTCCTACCAAAATGATCTCCTCGTGTTTGTGGGAGGAGATCTAATACCAGTACAACTTCTCCATGATTTTTTTCTATGTTTACAATTTTTTAAAGATTGCAAGACAATTTGTCTAAATGAGGTATGCATTTTGGAGGGCTCTCAGGCATAAAAATGTCAAATATCCACCTGAATCTGTGATATAACCGTAGAGAGTTTTCATTTAGATACATTTATGTGCTAGTGTCCACAAAAAAACTCCATATTATTTGATGACAACTATTGATTGTTCAAATTTTAGCAAAAATATCTTCAGGGACATCCAAAATATTATTCTGTGAAGGAAGAATATAGGTTGTCAAGAGAGTGATTTTTGGGGTTCAAACATAGTGGGCAGAATTGTTTGTAATACGGGTGACCAAAACAGTCCAAACCTATTGTAAAAGTTGTATATTGTCAGGAGAAAATGTCATAACTAAGAAGGTATTAGTACCTTGGGGAAAGATGTGTACGCCAAAGACTACATGTTTCACAACTCAACAAATCCTAAAACATCTTTCCCTTGTGGTTGAAAATCCAAAGCAGTCTACTAAGAACAAAGGTTGTCGAAATGAAAAATGCAAGTGGATCATGTATGTGTTTTGGGTAAGTAGGCTAATGAAACAATGAACCATATGTTTTTGGAGCGTACATTTCTGAGCTCACTATGGAAGATACTACTTCACTTGATATCTATAAATCAACCTCTAAGTAATACTTAGATTGCAACGCAATAATGGACCATCCAGAAGATTAAGGAGAGAAGTCATGAGGCTCATGTGTTGAAATTAGTGTACATAAAATCAATACATACAATCCGAAAGGAGATGAATACAAGAGTTTTTAAGGAGAATAAGTCCACAATGGAGGATCTAACACGAAGAGTTTCTTGTGTTAGAGCTATTGTCCCAACTAGGCTATTATAAGATAGATGTAACTTTTAGTTTTCTGAGTTCATTAAGCAAGTAATTGTTGGTCTCTGAGAGAAGTTATTTTAGTAGTTCTAGCTTAGTTTGTAAATATCCATTTTGGTGATTAATAAAATTATTAATTACCAAAAAAAAGAAGAGATTTTTTACTTATTAAGTAATGACATGGATATTGGTAGATCAAACTATTAGTTGCAGGTGTATTTTGGGACCAAACAATAAGGATAATTTTAGAGATAAGTGTTAAAAACACACCTAAGCTATCCCTTTTTTTTTAGTTTCATACCTAAACTATTGAGAGTTTGAGTTTCATACCTAAACTATCACTTATTAGTTTAAGAAACACACTTTAGTGGCATGTGTAATACTTTTTCACATGGCATTCCACATGAATAAAAATATTTCACCTGTGACAAAAATTAAATAATAAACTATTAATATTAATTAAATTCACCCTCTCCCCCCTCCCCCCCCAAACCACCCACTCATTCCCCAAAAAAATTGATATTATTTTATTTTAAAATAAAAAAATTCTACCCCATCCTATTTATCCCTCTGCTCCTAGTTTATTTTTTTTTACGTTTTTCTTGTTTTGTGTTGGATATGTACTTATATTTTTCATTTTTTTCAACTTGTGTATTTAATATAACATAAATAAAAATTTTATTTTTAAAAAAGTCTTCCGGCGGCAAGTAAAACATAATTCCCTAAAAAGATATGTATATATATATATATATAACACAAAACGAGAAAAAAAAATGGAAACTGAGGATTAGGTGGAGTGGGGTAGAATTATTATTATTATTTTAAATAATAATATCTAAATTATTATTTGGAG